TGAAAGTTTTACTATATTTTTGTGCTACTACAAAATGTAAGTAGTCGATTATTTGTAGCTAAATTATTTTATGGAAAATATTTCAAGTGTATTTGAGGAAATTCCTTAACACAGTAGCACTCTGATACTAACACTGTGAAGGGTTTTTTGATATAAGTACTTCAACTTTCAAAAACCAACAGTTTTACAAATTTTCTTCCTTTTCAAGTATAAACTAGTCTTCAAGTAAACAACTATTTTCGATGCAACTATGAGTATCTAAGTTAATTATCTCAGGTATAGTAATGAAATGAGAAGGATAAGAAGATTTTGTAGTCCATAGCTATATTACCAGGTAAATGAAATGTTTAGCTATTCAAATAGACACCGAAGTTTTTGATCAATTAATCACATACTGAACTTCATGTACTATTCGTCGTAATTTCTTCACAAATGTCTCTTCTTTAAGACAGTTTTATTTTAAAGTATTCATTATAGCCTGATGTTTGTATCCTAATAAGTATCTGAAACTAGTTGTTATAACTGAAAAACGCTTCTGACTAGAGGACACTGAATTATTGATCGGACCAAAGACGCGCAAACACGTAAAACAGCCTAGGGTCCTGATTAGTCTCGCTTTCCTGTCTAACCCAGCCAGTTGAGTCCAGAACGCAAGTTTCAGCCTCGGATATATGAATCGTTATGTTTCAAACACACTCTGTTTATATACTAATCAAGCAGACCACAACGTACCATGAAATAGAAAATAACATTGTACAATATTGACCAGTAGGAAAATGACACGCGAAATAAGCACTGACCAATAAGAGAATAACACCATCTCCAAGTCCAAGAATAGCATTAGACTTAATAGAATAATTTTTGGGATATTTTCCTGAATATCCCAACGCTAGTGTACATGATTTCCCATAGTATTTCAGTGAACCCTAGCCTATGATAATGGCATTCGAGTGTTCATGAATTGAGTTTTATAGCAATCAGATTGAAAGAAATTAAAAGGTGGTGAGAATTGCATTTAGCCACTTATTTGAAAAAAGCTCTTTTATTTTGAGCTAATTGTAATACTTGTTGTTCTCCTGAAATCAATTAAACAAAATATTTCTAGTTATTGTTAAATTATTTATTCATGTCATGAATTACATTGACAGTGAATAATGAAGCTTACAGTCTAAGATTATTTTAGTCAATTATGTTTTAGGTTCATGGTAGTTGTATAGAAATATTGTTCAAGTGTGGTAAATACTAATAGGTATCTTAAATATTTTAAAGTATCGATAGTATGTACTGTCGTAAGTGAACTAGTAACACCAAGAGCTAACCAGCACGTTTTCTTCTGGTCACTACTTCACCAAAGATGAAGATAGAGAAAACAGCAAACTCACTATAATGTATTGTATATTGAGATTAAAATAGGGTGGTTAGGCATCTGTTTGTTAGTTTTCTATTTAACTTTTGTTATATTCTAGTGAAGAGGAAATTACGGATAACTTCATAGATGTCTATGCCTCATGTTAAAACAAAAATGAGTTAGGTTGAAACTTAGTTACAAATTCTAAATTTTATTTAGAATTAGTCTATGAGTTGTTTTATCAATGTGTGTTTATAAAAATGAGACTATTTCATCGAACATAATTGTTAATAATAACTTCCAGACTAAGTTATGAATCTTACACCCATTTTTTGAAAAATGAATCCTTAAAACCAGGTTTGTACAAAGAAAAATAACATGATTAATCTTAAGATCTTTTATAATTATAATACCCTTTCAGAAAATGTGGGGGGATTCGTAACATGAATATCATACTACAGTAACTATGCTTTTTTCCCTGAGATACATTATTCGTGATTTGTTTTGAATGATTCACTTTTTTTCACCTAATACATTTCTAACTGAATATCAACCATGTATTCTGGTGCATTTCGCATTTACATTATATTTACAACATGATAATAAACTTCATACACTGAAACATCAAAACATGGGCGTATTTAGTCAGCGTTGTGTTAAAGTTTAACAGAAAAAACTTGAAAATGTTTATAACTCAAAAGAATATTCTGGTCTTGTATATTACTATTTTGAACTGGTTGCAAGTACTTAACTTTATTTTTGAGTTAGCTAGTTATAACCATTGCAATAACGCCTTAACGATTAAACTTAGTTTGAACTATTGGGTTCGAAAGAATGTGGAAATCGATATGTTTTACATGACGGAAACGTTAACAATTTTAACGTTTCAAATCTTAATTTTGTGCGTTAACGTAACATATACAAGCTCTTATCTTACCAAACATCTACAAGTTAAATTTTTCATACTCAGTAAACTAGTTGCTCATGCATTATTCTGATCTATAAAATGTTTAATTTCTGGTATTGGATCAAGGAGATTGTTGAACTTCCACAATTCTATATTCAAAATTATGATGTCTTCTTTAATGGGTACTGACGAAGTCTCATACTAGGATCAAATCACTATGCAATAATTCCGGGTTTTCGATGGTTGTCTAACTTAGATCGGTTTACAATTTCAACAAAATGTTTAACCATTTGCTACTAACACTTCAATTCTTTCAACTTTGCCAAGCATATAATTATCTATCAATTTATTTATTTTTCCTTCTAACCTATCGACTGTTTTGACGCCTGGAATTTTCAAACACTGTAATAAAGATTCGTTTTTCTTATTTCCAATAGACTATTTTATTTGTTAAATCAAAATGAAGTATTGTACAGTATGAATAACCAATTGATTGAACAAGGAAATTTCCTATTAAAGTTGTCTTTAAACTTCTTAAATGGCGAAATCGGTTTCTTTTGTTACCATTAATATATGTACAACTGTAAGTCTACCTTTTTCTGACTGATTACTAGAAAAAATCAAGGTAGATCCAAATTCATGATTTTTAAAAAATGAAGTCAAGCGTTTAAACTAATTAAGCCATCTGTTGTAGGCGAGAGTTTGTCGATTTTGTTCAGACTAATAATTAACTGATTTGAAAAGTGTGGTATTCTTTGTTAATTTATTATTTTAAACTGTACATTCAGTGGATGAATAATCTATAAAGTTTGATTCAGTCGTTAATCACTAAGTAAATTTGGCTAGACTAATTTAGGGACGACCTTTGAACAAATCGTAAATGACCTTGACAATTATTAGCTAATCAGAAGACAGTTAGCATAAAGTGAAAATATGTTATAAGTAATGAACTACAGTGGGTATCCTTCTTTAACATGATTTGAAAACTTGTAAAGGTTTGATAAAGGTTCAGAGGTTCTGAATTCATAATGCATATGGCATAGAAGCTCGTCCATAGGGTTGGGAGTTAGAGTTTAGGTTTAGGGTTAGGTTAGGGTTTTGGTTAGGTTAGGATTTAGTGTTAGGGTTAGAGTTAAGGTTAGGGTGGCGAGATTCTAATTTAGGGACGAAGCGTTTGAGCAATTTCAAGTTCACGGATCCAAGCTCAACACGTGATGCTAATATACAATCGGTTTACAACGGATTTTAGAGGAGAGGTTTTTATTGAGAGGCTACAACCCTAACCCTAACCTAACCATAACCCTAAACCTAAACTCTAATCCCTAACCCTATGGACGAGTTTCTATACCATATGCATATGAATTCAGAACCTCTGAACCTTTATCAGACCTTTACAAGTTTTTAAATCATGTAAAAGAAGAATATCCACTGTAATTCATTACTTTCTTATAATATGTTTTCACTTTATACGAACTGTCTTCTGATTGGCTAATAATTGAAATTGCTCAGACGCTTTTGATTGGCTCGTCCCTAAATTAGAGTCTCGCCGTAAATTTATGTCCATATATTGTTTATTCCAGCTTGCATTTATAACTGTTCACTAAATAAATTGAGGATTTCTTCCTTGTAGTCATTTAATGAAGTGTATATTACAGCAGATATTTTATATGAAACGTCCCAGTCTCTACAGAACTCATAAGCTTGAGACAGTTTTCTGTTTCATATGATGACATAACTCTATATTCACTTATAAATAAACGCTTTAATTTGTTTTTTTCTAACTGGTCAACACATAGCAAGTAATATATTAAAGTTGGTACTTGTAATTCAACACTCTTCTGACCATTCAGAAATGATGTTAATAGATTTTTATGTCAGTAATTGAACACTGTTTTAAAATCTGTATCAATGCATAAGAGACTTCACTTCATCAGGTATTTGAACTTTATGGAAGTCTCAGCTTGTCCAGGTAATATGTGATGAGATATGTTTTAATAATTCGATAGATAACCACAGTTTTAAATTGTGTAAAAAATAAAAATAATATATTTGTAAGTATAGTAAATATATTATGAAAGCAGATAATTTGGTTGATTCGAGAACTGCTTTTAAGTCTTTATGTAGAAATCTGTAAAGGTGAATATTCAGATTATTTAACGTTACAGTCACATTATTCGATAATGAGACTATCCATATTCACATTTCAAAAGAAAAATCATTTTAAATATTGGAATATATATATATATATATGTATAAATTCTATATACAATGATAAGTTATCGAATTACAATTTTTCCATTTCACACCACTTATATACACGTACCTCAGTAACTAATAATGTTTATAACTATAGGGATTGAAACCAAGGTGTAGTATAGATGTAACTATTATGTACATACCAATTCCTTATATAAATATTTTCAAATCGGGATTATTTTCAACTTAGAAGTATAATTTTCTGACATCTATCAAAATTTTCTTTTAAATATTAATTAGTTTACTCATAACAAAATGTTTACTTTGAGTTCATAAAATGAGTTCATATTCAATAAACTATAAAAGAGCAAAAAATTATTTGTTTAATTATTTTCTTACAGAACCCAGCCCTCAATTCACATATTATATTGTTTCATTTTTTAAATTTTTCTTGTGACACCCTTTAGTGACATCGTAATTATGATGAATCACTTAATATTACTAGGTCAACAGGTTACATTTACTTGGTTACAAAAGTATATAAAGAAAATGAATAGACTTTTAAATCATTTACAAATTGAAATTCAAATGGATTTTTTCAATCTTGTACAGACATTTCTTTTTCTTTTGTATATATCTAAACAATGTACATCAGTTTGTAAATTATCAAATGATTATAAATATGTAAGTATCATTTATGATAGATTCTATTAATCATTTCTAGTATCATTCAAATATTCAAGAAAGTAAAATTAAACGAAATGTTTTTATAAAACAACTGAAAGTGATACCCTACTACACAGAAACTATTAGACAACATGCTCATTTCGAAATAATACGAGTAAGTTATTAAACTATTTCTTATCATTATTATTTGCTTTTTGAAGAGTTTTTTGATTTATTAAAATTCATATATAGATTAGGAGAAATAAGTTTATTCTGTCTAACAACTTTATTCTTCATCTCATTGAAACTATTTTGTTCTCTCGTATTTCTCAATTATTGTAGACAAAAATAATAGAACCTGCTATAAAGATGTGGCAGACACTATTAAAAGTAAAAGCAAGATCTAAACATCTAATTTATTTATCCAGGTAAATAAAACTTGTTTCTACTATTCATTATTATTTATTTACTTATTTAAACCCATGAATATTCGTACAAGACGGCATTGAACACATATGCGCCACATAAGTCGCTTCATTTGTATGTGGGCTGTGATACTGCCTGGGTGCTCAGACTGAAGCAGGTGGTTTTCTTGGAGGGCCACACCCGGAGCCTTTAACCTAAAAGTCTGATTCACAAGGCAGTGGAGCTACGTCAGGAGATGTAGTCCCGTAGTAGCTAGTGACCAACAATTGGTTCATACGCCATTTGTTCCTTCAGGATCCTGGAGCCCATGTACAACATTAGTTTCGAATCAGGGTTTTCCAACTCTCATAGGTAAACTCTCCGTGTCGCTTTTCGTCCTCTCAATTTCGTAAACAGCACGCCCGCCACAAGGAGACAGTGAGTAGGACTTCCTTTGTAATGGCTGTATACGCTTGGCCATGTGAGAGCGTTTCGAGGGAGAGAGAGCTGGCTCTCCATATCCTTGGCCTTATCAGGGTATTTGAGGGCTACTATTCATTACTTCTTCATATTAATTTATTAAACTCTTATTTTATTTATATATATAATAATAATTTCAAGGATTGCATTAAGTGTATGCTAGTTGAATAACGGAATGTTAATAATTCAATAAAACATTAATATTGTTGATTTTCATTAAAGAACATTTTAATATAAAGAAACAAAAAAAAACTTTGAAGATGAAAGAGAATTATGCATTACTTTTTATTTCTTCAAGTATTAATTAGAAAAGTAGATCTATAAAAAGTTCAGATCTTAAATTCGACAAACATTCCAAAGTATTTTACGAAATGTGATTACTTGAGTATTGAAAACTTGAATCCATTGGGTTATGACAAAAAAACATAATACAAATTGAAGTTATTGTGAATTGAACTGATGTAAGATAACAATAAATAATAACAAATAGCCTTACATATCTATAATTATCTTATGTTGCATTTTTAATCACCTAATGACTTATTTCGTATTAAAATCACCATGAATGTTAAACTAAGCTATAGATCGTAGTTAAAATACACAAGATTAGATGTAAGCAATACTGTTTCAAGAAATGTCTTAGTGTTATTGATACTTTCTAAATCTATTGATGTCACACCACCATTGAAAACCTGGAAGCAATCGATGGTCGTTTCTATCCCGTCTCAGTGGTTCAAAGATTAACCGTCTTCACGCGAGACCGAAGGTCCTGGGTTCGAATCCCATGGATGGGCACTGTTGAGGAGTCCCACAATATGACGAAACAGCCATCCACTGCTTCCAGGTTTTTAATGGTAGTATAAAATCTATCGATCATGATCCTGTTATGACCTTGACGTCTGGTTTTTCTATCACACGATTTATCTACCAATCCGAGTACGACTTATACGAATCTTCACACTAAGCCAACCAATGACTTTCAACCGGTGTGGGCAGTTTAGCGTCCTTATTGGTCCTATATCCTCCGAGCCCTTCCACTTGAGTCCAGAACACAATACCGACTTCCGTAATATGAATCGAATCAGAGGAGATCAGACCAGATCGTTTATTTCAGACATACCCGGTTTATATATCATTCAGACAGACCACAACGTACCATAAAATAGGAAATAATATTTGTACACAAATAAGCCAAAAAGTGGCTGTGAATGAGGGGGACAGTAACTAATAGACTGAGCATAATTTAAGGACAGTAAATCGTACAATAATAAAATATAGGTCAAAATAAAGCTTATAATAAGAGGAATATAAATATACATAGTGTAATTGTTGAGTAGTTATGCAATAAGAATATTTATAGAATATTAGTCCATGAATAGTCCTTGGAAGTTACCTGTAATTTAATCTTCGCCGGATATAACAGATCCCAATCAAAATGTTACCCATCTCCACAACCCCATACTGTTAACTTTCTAAATCAGAGTAATTTATTGTTAATAACATTGTATTTTTTGTTTTACTAAAGAAGTTGTATAAATCATTCTAAAGACGCAAAGATACTTCCTAATGGTACGCGGTTTTATTACTGTAGAGAAGGATGTAAGGAGGTATCAGAATGTTATCATGGCGTTATTCCAGAAATGTACTTAGATGTAAGTGAATTTCATTCAGTGATAAAATTGCAAACATTTCAAGCTTTCTGAAAAGAACCTATCCGTTTGTCTATTTTATTCTGAAGAATATTTGGTGTTTTTTTATCCTTTATTGTAAAATTTACAAAGAATTCATTTTATTTCGATTAGTTTTAATACTTCAAATCTATAAAGGTAGAAAATTTCGAACATTGATTACATCAAGATAGACATTACTATTTGCAATTTTACACTGTGAAGATTCTACTGAGCAGAAAGAAATTTTAGAAGAAATGATTCTCTGACATCAGCACAAAATTGTCATCGTTTATCTGGAAGTCAAAGTGCATTTCTAAGCAAAATAAATCTGAGTAGAATAATGACAAAACAAAATAAAGAAAAATAAATTCAATCTTTAGTTTACCATAGATATTATCTATAATATAACCATCGTTAATAAAGCGATTCCTATTTGGTTTTATTATCAACCATTCAACAGCACAAACAATTTCTTTTCTAGTTTAAAGGTGATTTTCCTGAATACTCAACAAATTGCCAATGCAGCTACTTAATAATAAGAACTGAAAGCTAATCATTTAATATATAACCTATTGATAAACAATCAAACCATCAATTATATTAATAATGTGCAATGAACATTAGGGTTTATTCATGAGAACAATTTAATTTGAAATTCTTGAAATGGTTTGAGAAAATAGAGTTGTTGTCTACTGCAGGTTTCATTACTTGAAGCTTCAATTAATTATTCTGTATAGAAGAATATGTAAATCAATTATCAGGTATTTTAGAAAAGCAAGATTTGTATTTTTCATTTTTATTACACTACTCACTAAATTACTTATTATTTATTATTTATAACTAGTACTGCCATACATATGTACATGGACAACCCAAAATAAGTGGACGTCGTGGAAAAGGCATAAAGTTTCATCACTTATTATATATTGTTGATTCCCAGACAATTTCCCTTTGTCGAAGTGGAAACACTGTGGGTTATGCACAGTTTTGCAGGTTGGATGGACTAACAGACAGGTTAGTTGATTAAAGACAAACAAACTTGAAAGAATCATATTTGTTTGTATTGTGTTTCTTTACTAATTAGTAGAAACAAAATTTATAAACTTTATAATTAGCACAAGTTCTAGTTGTCTATGCAATATGTACTGGATGTTATGACGTGAAATCAATTTTGTAAATTATGTAGTTACGGGACGGCACTTATTTAATGTATGTTTGGAAATACGAATTGATTGTTTCTCACTTAATATACATTTCAAGAACCACTAAACATCTATTCAAAATACATTTATGGTTAATGTCCTAAAAAGGTGCGATGTTTGTGGAATAAGACTAAGTTCATGATTTTGTCTAATCATTCTGTCACAGGACGAATGTTATTTAATTTATGATTTTATATCTCAAACATTTAAATGTAGTCTCCGGTCAGAAATAATCTAACCTGAAAACTCCATAGGATTAAGAATAACCATAAATTGAGTTTATTCTTACTTGAAACTTCCTAAACTTATCTTGAACGAGTCACTAAACTTCCAGGTTGAAAATAATTGTTGATAATAATGATGATTTTTGGACATGTTTTTCTTCAAAACATATGAGATGGTACAGTAAAGTTTGCACTGGTGCTGCTTTACTCATTCACTATACTTCTTTAAATGCTGACTTTAGTGTAAGCTCTTCCTTTTCCTTCTTTATTGATTATTTCTTACACTTGGATTTTCATCGCGTTTGATATAACAGTCCTTTTTAATTTCTATTTGGTTGATTTCTTCTCTTGTTGGTGCCAGGTTCAATGTTGATGTTGACTAGCTGTTATGTTAAACTATTGACGACTGGTAACTAGTTGGAGTGTAATTTACGATTTTGAACAGTTCCGTAGTAATTTCATTTGTTTCATTTTGTAGGCCAATAGCTGGCTACACAAATATCTGCCCGAATAACATAGAACTTGGTTATGAAAATATTAGACTGGCTATTTCAACTATGGCACACGAATTGGGCCACGTTTTGGTAATCTGCATTGATTTATTGTTAAAATAAGAATAAATATAGTTTTCTAAACTGATAACATATAAATGTGTATTTAGTCACTATTGTAACTAATCCTGTGTTGATGGTCAAACACATAACTAGCAATTAATGACTACCGGAACAGATATTTCAAGTTAAATCTTCAAATTTATTCATTATGTCTGAGTAGAATTTAAGGAAATTTAATCATCAATTTTGAATTATGATAACGAAATGTTATCATAGCCCCAGAGGGGCTCTAGATGGAGTTTGAACAAGTTTGAGAGATTTATCACAAATTAATACCATATCATCGTTTCTTAGGATATCGGTGCTAAAAACGTAATACTTTTATAATAGTATATTAAATTTATTTTCATTATACTAGTTAATGCTACATTTGGTGATAGGCTTTTAATATGGGAACTCACATTTTTTCTAGTATCCTCTTATATTTTACTAATCTAATCAGTTTTCATTTATATTTTAAAAAGGGTTTCAACTCGGAAGCTTTCAGATATATGAGAGACGAGCGTGGTGAACCAAGAACGATGCGTGAACCTGCTACGAATGAGCCTATTTTAACGGATTCACTAGGATACAGAATTCCAGAGTGAGAAATAATTATTTTGATGTGAAATATGGGTTATTAAAAATTCATTATTGCGTTTAGTTTGAAATGATAAATTTAACAGAATCTCGAATTTTAGAGTATCATCCATCGAAATATAATTTGATCCAATAAGCTTGACTTCTTAACAGACTGAAGTTGAAATTTTGTGTGAATTTTTTAAAAAGTTTTATATTGCCTATGATCTTCCAAAATAGACACAGCAAATAAAAATAATATTCTATTATATAATGAATCCTATAAAGTACAGTTAATTTAGATGAATGGTTACACTAACGCGAGTTATAACTAAGAACAAAAAAATAATATTGAACTATCCTAGATTCATACTTTGTTTTGTTAACTAGATAAAAAAACAAACATGTTTGACAACTATTATCATCCATAAGGTTAATATGTATGGTAATATATATACACATTCCCAGTAAACCACATGTTAAAATTATTATCTAGACATATCCTAGGTAAATTAAATTAAAAGCCATATTACTTTACAGTAAGGCTTACTACTTATCCAATCATTAAGACAATGTAGTAGTTAAGATACATATAGTATAGATGTTTTGTTAAGTCTAACTATGCTTCTTATTTCACTCTCAAAGATACAAAATTACTGCAATATCATATGGCCTTGATGAACTGTATGATCTTGAAAAAAGTGTTTAGAAGTTATAATAATTGATCCAAATGTCATCGTAAACGAAATATTTTTGTATTATTGTTTTGAAACGTTTAGCGAATCAGTTTTAAGCAATGTTACTCGTATTTGGAAGTCTGCTAAAACAACAGTTTATCGACATTTGACTGCGCTTAAAACACCAATGATGCTGGTGAGTTTGTTTTTAATTGCATATATAAACGTCTGGTATGTTGAAGAAATTGAGTAACGTTAATTTTATGTCGAGTGCTTAAAAATAGTCTTGAATGGTAGAGATAATGTTGAACAAATAAACGGTTAACGGACGTATTTGAACTAATTATCTATGTGCTACCAGCTTACTAAGTCTTGATCCTCACATGATGACTTGATTTACACTTTATTTCAGTTGACAATTTTCTATTATCTTTTCTTGTGAAGGAGAGTTTATCATGTAAGTTCCTTTTATCAGACTAATTTTCAATATGAGTTGCCAATCACTAATGATAATCGTGCGAAATTGAAATCTGGTTATTACTTGAATCTTTTAGTTCAGTTTGTAGAGGAGAGGATGAATACAGGGAAGGCTATAGAAACCCAGATTTCATTTTGATTCCATCTTCTTTGTCAGTTATAACCATTCGAAACTGAAGAGGCACTGGAAACACATCTTGCTAACTAATAGAAACAGAATACACCTTTAGTTTAATGATGTTGTAGATGAGATAGTATTGGACAGATAATTACAGTCACTAGATTGTTCATCTAATAATACCAATTATTATGTGGAAAAACAAACTGAACTGTATTGATTTTCTGAGGAGTTTATGAATGTTTCTGTTTCTTGCGAGTAAAATATGCTAACATAGATATTTTGAATTGGCTTTAATTGAATCTGACTAATAAGGATAAAACAGACACTCAGGTTTGTTGTTTGTTCAGAAAGCTATCATAAAACTAATAAATAAATCGGATTTAAAAGTAACGGTAACGGTTAAAATCAATCAATCATTCAAACATATTTGTGTCATCCCATTGAATAAGTAATGTCAAAAAGCTTAAAAATCTCATTTCAGTTAGTGCGACAGATTCTTAGTAAATATGGATGAATTATAAATATACTTTTGATTGGATAAAAATAGGATGTGAGCATTTTTAATTGTTCTCGTGTGCAGTCTAAATGCTAAATTGGTAAGTTGAAAAAGAAAGATGACGGAATGTGTAGATTTTCTAATGGTTTGAATAATCATAAGGTAACAGATAGTTTTTAGAATGTTTTCTATAATGGTTACTAACACAAATTCTGTCTTTTAAAATTCATTCACAGTGGTGAATCTCTAAAATGCAATGCTACATCTAGCAGTATGTGTACAAAGCCTATACTTAGGCACACAACTTCGTGTATAGTCGTTTCTATTCTATGATCTGAGAATTCTCACGTTTTGCGTACGCTGTTTTATACAGATGCTACATGAAATATTGTTCACCAGATCTCAAGAACTTTCTTTCTTAACTGTTACCAATTACTGGAGATGTGACTGAGTCATCGGACGCTAGTTAGACTTAGGAAAGATATCATTTTTTTTATTTTTACTGAATGACCAGTTCTTGTGTTATAAGCATAATTAGATTATAACAATTTGTCTCGAACTGTGTATAAAACTTAATGTAACCTTATTGTAGAACCCTACCTGAGATGATAGGTTTTAGAAATGTTTCATCACTGGTTATAACCTTTACTTTCTTGTAATTGGCAGCAAACTCATGTACCAAAAATAAGCAATCATGTTCCATTTATTATGATGACATCTCGAAATTACGAGTATAATGTTGGATAAGATCGTTTTAAGAATATATTATAAAATTTATCTCATTTCAGATTCGCTTTGAACAAGTGAAAAGCACAACAGGCATTTTAGTGTGTTTATTTTAAATAAGTGTAAAGAATTTATGCCCAAATTTTTTCCACCAACAAAGTTTTTGACGTCTTGAATAACTAATCTGTGTGATCCGAAGATATTCTAAGCGGGAAAATTCCCATGTACCAAACCTTAGTTTTAAATAGACCTAAATATTTCGAAGATTTAGTTACATATTTCACTGTCATTAAGATAAATATCCTTTAAGAACAAACAATACAGTACAGTTTATTTTTTAAAACTTAGATAACTTGAGAGCTGATATACACCATTAGGGAATTAAAATTGTTGGATTACTTCTTGTTTCAGAACATTTAGCGATATATTTTCTTTCTTATTTGAAAAACTGCTTACTCGCGATTTTAAAGAGTTCAATTTGTGAATCTCCGATGGTTTACTAGTCTTATTTTCACGTGCTGTTGTTTTACTTGCATCTTCCCATTGTTATTTAGGACTGCAATTGATCATTCTCATGTTGTCATATGTGCATCCTGTGAGAATTGCCTCGATATAGCCAGTGTGAACATCAACTCTGGGATGCAGGTGCATCCAACTGACGAGTCCCAAAGAGGACGAAAAGCGCGTCCTGGATTCCACTGTTAGCCACTATCCATCTTTGCTTACTAGTCTTACGTTGATAATAAGATTATAACATATTATGAATTAATATATGCATAACAGTGTGTCATTTATTTATTGTTAAGAAGTAACTGAAGGTAAAATATCTTTTTAAACTTAGAAAATGGCGAAAGAATACTTCAACTGTCACGAACTTGACGGTGTTGAACTTGATAACAACGATCAAGTGTATGCTAGAGGTCATCTTGAAAAAAGGCTGATTGATGTGAGTGCTTTGTGTGTAGCTTGATTTTTATATCATTATTTTGTGAAAATATTTCTGATTTTTTAACAGGTGACAATAAAATAACACCATAATCACCAGTGACTAGTTTGAAGAGAGGATTGCCTGAACGTTTGTGAGAAGCTATAACCAACGAAGTTTAATCACATGGAATGTAAAATAGTTTCCATCAGCTACACTGAAAAATGACCAACGATAAACAGATTGAAGTTAGACATTTAAACTACCGAATACCGATTCAGTGGTCTAATGTTTAAGCTCTCCCTGTGGGACCTGAGTGTCCTAAGTTCAATCTCTAACAGAGTCGTGGGTATGCACTGCTGAGTAGTCCCTAGAATGTGATAACAACTTAATACTCCTTGATTTTCACTGAATATTTGGTAAAAAGTCAATCAGTGATTTAAAATGCAAAACATGGCAAATAGTGGTCATAACAACAGTATCACCTAGTGAGTCTAAAATTATAGAAAGTAGTGCTGAAGGGTAGCTTCAGTTGTCTTCCGTACTTTATTCAATCTATTTGATTTCTGCATAAAACGTCGTCTTGATTACCAATATTTAATAAGCTATTATTTATTCTGCTATTTAATTGGCGCTCTACTGATCTTTGGTAGACTAACAAATTAACTCAAACTTGTGCTACTCTACATAATAAATACATAAATTGATCAAAATGTATACAAATATTGGTTTTGAAGAACCTATCTAATCCTCTTCAATCTACTCTTCCTTTTTACCAATACAATTACCTCCCCTTCCTTCAATTGGTCAGAGTAGTACTAGAAGCCTTTAAAAGTTAGGACATTAAACTCTTTGGTTGTTCTAGGTTTTTCTACAGTCGTCCAAACAGATGGTTGATTTAGATCCAGTTTTTCAGTCACGAGTGACCGCACTTATTCACTGTTTCGATTGTCACAGGAAGTTTATGACTGTCATGAATTCGGACCATCATTGCAAGATCCAAGTCTCCTAATGAAAAGCGTGACCCACTTAAATATAGGTGTTATCTTCAATTCCATGTTTACACGAATAAAATTCAAAACTTTACGAATTTCCGAACTGTAGATGCAAGAAAGTATTAAATTAATAATATAACTTTTCTATATACAGAATGAATTAATGACTCCTCTCCTTTCATCACGTTCATATATATCGAAAATCACACTTGGATTTTTCGAAGACACTGGGTAGGTCTAAATTTTTGATTTTACATTTAAATAATATATGCTAAATCTTGGATTTTCAGATGCCTTAAGAGCTATAAGTTAAGTATTTTTTCATAACACTAGTTAAAAATTTGAGAAAACAGTAAATGCCTCTTGTATTTACTAGTCTGAACTATGAATTTAGGCAACTGAAATATAGATTTCAGAATGTTATGTTCTCAGTGTCATAAATACCTCTATCTCAAGCAAACAACAGGAGGTAGAATATTATCCACAGTAATTTCTAATCTATAGAACGAATTATCATAAATTCGGTTTCTTTAAAGTAGTAATTTTATAGGCCCCATGGATGGTTCACTAATTGCGTGAACCAATCTACAAAAGCTATTATCTCCAAATGTATTTAAGCAAGCTTTCAATCGTATTGGACTAAAACGGCTACACATTGGGTCAGTTTGAATTAAGCGGACTGTTTGCATACAGCTATTCTAATCCATGAAAACTTTAACTTACGTACAACTATGGGAGTTACTGATAATTTCGGTTATTCACTATACCTCTCACTACTACGATTGTATCCATGTTTTTAGCCCGTAATTCGATCACCATATTAAATAACCTATTCTATACTTTAGGATTCACTTCATAGAATTTTATTTGTTTTCAAAATGCGAACTGGTCATATGAAGAAGAAATGTGAAGTTTTCTTTTTACTAAAAAGTTACTAAAGGTTAACTACTAGTAATATTACTTTTGAGAATGTTTTGAGCCTACTCAATTCCCAATGAAATGCTAAAGTCAATTTAATATTTTTATCAGTATGGGGTTATGGAGATTATTAAGTTATTGATTGAGATCTTGAACAGATTGAGGTTAGACCGATTTTCTCGTTTTCATTCCATGAATGTTGAATAAACTTAATACTTTCAGCTCCTTTACATTTTCGTTGTGTTACTTTCAAAGATACATTGCTTTAATTTCGTAATCATTTTTTTATTAACTTAGATGGTACCGTGTGGATTATTCAAAAGCTAATCCAATGGGATATGGTAAACATCTTGGTTGTAATTTCGTTATGAAAAGTTGTTATGAGTATATGCAACTTCAACGAGAAAGGTAATAAACTTATTTTTGAATGCAATCTTTTATGTAAGACGATTGTATAACTGATATAAAAATGTGTTTATTTTAACTATTTCACTAGTACACTATTAATTCAAAAGTAATGGTTTTGATCTATTAATGAGTCTTTTTAATTGTTTGAACAGTATTCATTTGAGGAAGGCAAGTGCTGTAAGTAACAAAATATACGTTATAAAAACCAACATACCTTACGGTTGTTCTCTTTCACTGTCATGCTCGAAAATATTGAAAAATCCGTTTTTATATCGATGCTAAACTAATAGCACCGAGAAATGATTGTTCATTTTCTGATCGAACAAGTCCGAAAAATTTTGAGGTAACACAGGAGTTCACTAAATAATCAACCGAAAAGTTTTCTTTCATTTTAAAAATAGGTTTAATTAAAGGTACTTCAATAATACAGCGAATGCTATAACAAATGCTAAATTGTTACATGAACTAAACAGCATATGAATTAGTGGTAATCTACTATAACTGTTTGTTTTTATGATTTCAACACATTAAAAAAGTACAATTTTAAGTTTTTATTCTTTTAGAAGACAAAGCTTTTACCCATACTGTGATCAAATAAGCTTCAGTAACACTCTCTGTCTAAAGCATGAAAATGCATATGGTTTCTGCGATCTGAAGCAATATTATTCGCCTCTGCCACTTGAATTTCAGTACTTTGATGATCCTAGACTTGGTGCAGCTGACCGTTACCGGGATTATTGTCCAGCTTATGTGGTTAAGTGATTTATATTCTTAATTATCATCATAATAACATAACTGTTTCTAACGTTTGGGCATAGTACTTACACATACCTTCAATACAAGCTATTAATTTAGATCTAAAGGTCAGAACTGCTGGTATCATAGCACTGTTTATTCCTCATATTTATTAGAAAGGATCCTTGGAACCCAGTGAGGCAAGAAAAAGTTTCCCATTTTTAGTTTCTAGTTGCAGACCTGGATTAAATCAAAACAACCATAGTAAGGAATTTGGTCGAGTTAGTAAAAAACATACCGATTTAAAATACTTCATAAAAAGGATTCTAAAAAAGAGATTATTTATTTCCGAATCATCCCCTATATAATGGGATTTACTAAGTTAAAATTAGTCTGCTTAAGCAAAGTATAAACAATAAATTGAGTAAATTTACTTTGTACTTACGATCTGAAATACTTAAGTATCGGGATTAAAAGTACTGTTGGCCAATAGCCAATGTGAGCACTTATTGGCAGAGCGTAAGAATAGATTGAATAGAACGTTACAATTAATACAATATTTAAACAAAACGTCTGAAGAATCAGCTTGAATAGTAATAAGACTACTGAAAACAGCCAAAGAAACATTGGGATTTCACGAACATTGATTTTTACATTTTGGAAAATTGAAAATGAAAATAATAAATGACGTTACTGTAAAAATGAAACCCATCTGTTCATATTAGCTTGAAGATGGTAATGTGGTGTGTGCTACTTATATTGACATAAGTAGTATATGATGTTAGTCGTGAACAGAAGGTCTGGCAGCAGAGGGACAAGAGGATCGAACAATAAAGAATGGAAACACAATGCAATTTGTATAAAAATGCAAGAACAATGAAGTTTGAGTCATTTTGAGATAACTGATGGACATTTTACAAGTTAAGCATTTACTTTATGATTATTAGATTTTATTAACAAGTCCTGTAATTTTTTGTTAAATACATTCGATTGTCCCCACTGGTGTTCTTGCTTACTACAGTAGCACTTCCAAGATAGGCAATAGTACGATAAACAAAACTTTAACCAAAGTCTGTAATAAGGCATTTTTTCTGAAATTTTAGCCATTTACTGGGACGAGAAATATTTACTCATACTGCAATACTCCCGAAAAACAGTCTGAAGTTCGTAAGTTATAATGAATTATCGTGTTTGGTATTTTAAAGACTAATAACAAAAACTATGCATACTGTGTAGTTGACGGACTTATTTTTAGTGAAATTTCAGAATTTTCAATATTTTTTTAGTTTTTCACTGGTTTCGACACATTAACAAGTAAAGCGGTTATTATATCGATTAGCTTTGATCCACTTATTTGAGTTATAGCTAGACACTTTTTACTTGAAGATAGTTTTTATTAAAAATGAAAATGATGATTACTTAAAACTATGAAGAATAAGAAAAGTATTTCACTGTAGTTTAAGATCCGCCAGCACAATCCTAAACCCAGAACTTAAATATTTTGCTTTAAGCACTGAATTCTAATTTAATAATTTCTATATTTAGTGGGACTTATTTTAAAATGTACCAGTATTCTGGTCCATTGTTAATTATTAATTACTATCTCTTTTGATGAAGATCACTCTTACAAATCGTTTCTCATTTGAACTCCGAAAAATCAATATGAAAGCTAGTTAATAGTGAGCATATGATAACAACTCTAGTTTTGTGAAGAGAATGTCATGTAAATATGATCTTAAAACTTAATATTTAAAAAATCGTTATGTATCAACCTCAATGAAACAAAAGTTAGTACTAAACTTACAAATCATCACTAAGATTCTATCACTTTGAGAATAGAGAGTCGTTTCATAATATAGTAAGACAAATCTCTACCATTTCATTTTACTTTCTGTAACAATATAAATCCTGCATTAAATTGAAAATCTAATCCATATTTATTATGAATGATGCAAATTGTTTTGGATTTCTTTTAAAGACGAAAACAAAAACTACATGCTTCATTACTTTGGTAAATCTTCTGTGTGCATAAACCATGACAGTACCAGACACTGGCAAGTGTCAAAAAAACATGAAATTTTCGAGGAAACTTCACCCAAATCTTCATGCATGAGTGTAAGTATTAAATTACACAGATAAAATATGATTAATGTAAAAGAAAGTAACTGATTTTTTCTTAATTTTTTCCGAAAAACATTCTGATTTGGTTCTGTTTTGTTCCTTTAATGAATATCTATTTGGTTGATTTTGTATGAATATACATTTTGGTTTAAAAATTATATACTATTTTTTTAAATCAGGTTTTGTGATTATTAACGGGATAAAAATAAAGGGACACTATTGTTTGCTTTTTTTAATTTAACGACTAAACTACAAAGAATTTTATTTGTAAAAGATGTATTGTATTTCTTCATTTTATACTGGAAAAACCAAAAAAAACAACATTGAGATCAATATAGAATGCAGCTATTCATTTTGATATATCATGAATGAACACAAAATTTAATAGTTGATGAAGCATCTCTCTTCAAAATGTTTTGTTGAATTTTCCAATGCGCTATCTTTAATACCATCCATTAGGTTATCTAACAGAAGTGATTCATAAGTTATTCAATCTTTGGTTAGATTTTCTAAATATTTGAAATCATTTTATTATAAATGTGTTATAAATCTTGTTCAATTGTAAACTGTATTACAAAGTTATTTAGATATAAACATGTAACTATTTCCTATACACATTATAATGTACATTGTCTTGTACAGATGCAGTTAATAGAATTCATGCTTTCAATCAAATATATTAACTGGTTATTAAGTATCCTTACTAAAATTTGAACTGATAATTTCGAATAAATCGAGCATTGAGTAGATTGTTATAAACGAATTAATATATTTGCACTATCCCAGTAGGCGAAAAATTAGATTTTCTGACGTTTCGTGACTCAGTGTAAGCCACTTATTCAGAGAGTAAATAACCAAATAGAAATCCTTCCAAGCTACTATTTATTACCTGAAGAAGTGACTTACGCTAAGTTACGAAACGTTGGAAAGTTTAATTTTTTTTACTCCTTGGGATATTAAAAATATATTAATTTATTTATATTAAATGGTCACTTTTTCAAAAGAAAATGCAATTGATTTCTGTTTATACACTTCATGCCGTAAAAAGAAATGTTTTGTATAATTAAAATAACCCATAGTGTGATTGAATAAGAAAAAGAGAAGTCACAGAAGAAAATTTTCTTTTGGACGAAATCATTTACTTAAGCTGTACATTCGTATATATAGTTATCTGGACACTATATATCTATAGGAGGATAGAAAAGATTATATCATTATTATTGATTCGAGACTAAATCACAAATAAGGTTACGTACTAATCAAGGGGTTTGGAGGAAAATAGTTTATGGGTCAGACAATAGTCCAATTGACCAATATAAAGAAAAACGACAAACATAAAAGTCATAATAATAAAAACTGAATAATAATCGAGAAAACTTGTTTAAAAGTAATAATAATAACTGGAGTTTAAAATTACAAAACAATAATTTAAAAATTAAAAAAATTCATTGATAATCAAATACAAGTGCAGAGAAAAATACAGAAGAAAAAAACACAAAATATGCCCATTATGGGAATTAAGGCCAAAGAAAGATAATAGGTTGGACAAATTGTTTCTGTACGGAAAGTTCAGGCTTTAATTCATTGATTGTTCATGCTTCAGCAGTGCATAAAATATTGATTCGACACCCTTTTGATTCAGTTCCTTTGACTCTGTAAATTACTTTAAAAGAAGACTCTTTTGGTACGATGTATTCACAGTTAATTAAATGCTCCTGTATAAAACTAGTAATTGTTTTACATTCTCCCTTTAAAGCCAATCCAGATAGTGTTCCGAGATGTGTTTGGACAGTGATCGCTTTATGCGGCCTATGTAATGTGCCTCACATGAGCGGAAGTTTGTCCTTAACTCATCCTAGAATAGTAGGCCGGCTAGAGAAAATAATTAGGAGCTTGGTCTCATAGAACGTTTTATTCAACGATTTTGAAATCTGTTTATTTAAGATTTCAGCAGCCGTGTCTTCCTTAAATTTCATATTCATAGTGTTTTGTATTATTTTCTAAAAATGAATATCACACTTCCTTACAAACTTACATGAATCACCAATTAATTTATGTTATATGGTTTATTTACTTTTCTCTTACATAGCATATATGTTCTGAGATTGAAGGATTAATTTTGATTCTTGAAAATAAAGAACTCGTTTGTCCTATTAAAGGTAAATACATTGATTTCAGTCTAAGAGGAAAGTACTTCGATATTAACGGTTCAATCATTTGTCCACCATGTAGAGATATTTGCAAAGTACGTTGTTTTAAATTTTTAATTTTATCGTATAATAAATGATAACTAATACAAATGAACATGTACTTGTACAAAAATACCATTTTAAGTACGTTTCTTAGTCCACAATCTCAGTTATTCGAATCTCGTAAATTAATTTGTAGAACACGAAAATATATGGAATTGATTGAATGAAAGATATCGCTATTCAAGAATTATGTTTATTATACAAAAGTGTTAAAGCAAATATATTTAATTAACAAGTGGCAAATCTGTACCCGGCGAAAAATGCATTTTTTAACTGAGCACTGGATATAAATATTTTTTTCGTGTGAACCTGAGTTGATACAATTTTGATATTATCCAATTCTTTATGACATTATAACAATGTAATCTAGATGGTTACTGATATGTATTCAAAAACTCCTTCAATTAAATATCTATCATTCGATATTGTACTACATGTAGGAAGTATTACGTGAAAGTAAATTTTCCCAAACTAAACACTTTTTTGTAGGATTCAATGGTCTGTGGAGTTTAAAAGATACCAGTAATTAAACAGATGTCATAGCTGATCTTTATGTCATATAGCAAATGCTTCGAAGTAGAAAGTTTGAATCATTGACCAAGCGTCCCACTGAAAGTGTGCAAGATGAAAACTGACTTTATTTCATAAAATAAA